AAGGCTGGCTGGGGAATTCTGGAAGTTGAAGTCCATACCTCTTCAAGTCGCCAAGGTTGGGAGACATTGCCAGGGTTGATGCTTCCTGCTCCTTTGTTGGGACAGACAGCGACTCTTGAAACGTAAGAGTGAACCCCAATTTCCTGGCCTCCTTTCTCTGCTTCTGTTTTCCGACTGGAAACACACGAAAGACCAAAAATAGCTCCCTGTCCCATCCTCCAAGTGCCAGGTCCGTTCCCCTTTCCCTCAAGTGCCCCTCCTTCTATCAATGAGACCATCTCCTGCTTTCATCGCCATGCCCTTTCTTGCCAACTGAATCAACGTCACACCACTGTCGGAGCAGGAACGATGGCATCCCACAGTTGTGGACTTCATCACACGGTCCTGAGGAACCTGCAGACCATCCAGGACCACTGATGGTTCCCAGGCTGATAAGACCGTGGATTTTTCCAGGTTGCTGGCAGTGGACGGGCAACCCTTTGCAACCTGGAAGCCACGGCGTTGCAAAAACATGGCACTCCGGGTGGATTTTTCTTTTTCAGCAGAGGCAGGAGTCATGTAGGTCTCACAACATGCCAGGTCAAGACAGCTCCATTGGTCTGTCTGTCTGTCTGTCTCTCTCTTGCAATGCCACCAGCAGACACCGCTTTGCCAGGATCCATCAGGCGATGGTCTCCCAACATCGCCAGATCAAAACCAGACATTGCGGGTTCTTTGTCTCAAAATTGCGGTCTTGCTCAGGTCTGGGAGAACTTTTGGTTTGGCCCTGAGGAAGTCCTGTGGTGTGGCAGGAAGCCTTTCTCCCTCCCTCCTGCCTGAACTCATTTATGTCATGCAAACAGCACAACTACACTCATTCATATGGAGAAGCTTCTCCTCCCAACCTCCCCGCGATTGGTAATTCCGAGACTGCGATATTTTCCCCTGAATAAATAAAAAGAATTGGTTTCTTTATATCTCTCTATCCGTTGCTGTGCACAAAGTCAGCGTGGGTGCAGCTAATGCTAAAACTCTCTTCACCTTTCTATGGTTTGGGGTCCAGTGCTTGTCCAAATGTTTATTAATAGCTCAGAAGAAAAAAAATGGGAGTAAAGCTTATCACATCTCTGGCTGACCCCAAACGAGGTGGGATATCTAGAAGATGTGGGGGGGGGGGAATATCAAAATGGCTTTGATGGGTTAGAGAAGCGAGCCGAAAAGAGCAGAATGGAATGGAATAGCGATAAATGCTAAGTTTTACAATTCGGAGCTCTCTGACTTGGCAATGGCGTCTGTTAAAGGGTCTTAGAATAGGAGTTGATCACAAGCCGACTATGAGTCAGCAGTCTGACGTGGGAACTCACAGCACAATGGCAGTTTTAGGCTGCCTCAACCGAAGTAGAGTTTCCAAAACGAGAAATAATAATTCCACTTTATTCTGCACGGGTCAGACCCCGTGTCTGGGTACCACGCTTAACAAAGGGTTCAGACAAACCGGGGCACAGCGGGGCAGCACTGAGGATGGCCAAACCCAGGACCTATAAGAAGAGATGGGGAGAATTGGATAGGTTTAGCCTTGAGAAAAGATCACCAAAGGGAGATATAATTGTGTTTTTCTCTTAGGAAGGGGTGCAGTGAAGGCGGCCCAGATCTGTTCTCTATCATCTCAGAACGGAGTACGCGGAATAGCAGTCTTAAGTTTCACGCAGGCCGATTCTGATTGAATTCCAGGAAAAAAACACTTTTTTGAATCCACGCCCCCCCGC